ATCATTTATTGCATTTTGACAATTATCACATAGCGAATTGATAAGGCGCTTAACCACATAACATAGAACAAGCAGGGACACTCACCAAGAGTGAAGTTCAGATGTCAAATTGGGAATCGAATTCCGCTTCCTCGCAATATCCTAGAATATCAAATATTGAAACCATAAGCTTTTATTCAGTCTTTAGGCTCAAACACATTGAGGTTTATCTGATATATTGCTAGTTTACTTTCCCATAGTAGTTTCAAAAATCTCCATAGGTTGAATCTTGATAAAAGTAGAAGAATTGTTTCCTTTAGTTTTCCTTGGAATACTTTTCTTATAAAAGGTAACTAGTATTATTTTCTTGAAATAAGTCGACAAACCTCTCAATATCAATGTTAGAAAGTTACTTTGAACATTTCTCTAAGGTTACGGCTTTTGCAAAAATTATCCTTAAAAACTATTTTTCCAAAAATAGGGTTTCTTGCCGAGCAAGTTTCCCAGGCTTTTCACCAAAATTAGTAAAACTCGTATTTTGAAACTTTTCCTATAGTTAACTATCCAAGTGCAAAGCTTAAGGAAATAAAAGGAATTAAAATAAGACTTAGAGTTTTCAACAGCTATAGAACTTATTTACTATAGCCATCAAGGCTAGTTTGAGCTAAAGGAAATTATCGGGTTGGAAAGTTTTAGGCAAAACACTAGATATTGAGTTTTTATATTATAATACTAGTTGGAAAATATTTTGATTACTTTGACCACAGTCACTCGAGTTCGCAAGATCGATACAACTTCCACAGCTCCGATTCCGTTTCGAAATCATAATATGGATCAAAATATGGCAAAAATCACATAACAAATTACTAGGGCTTCGTCAATCATTAGCCCTAGATTTCAACAAGTGCATTTCTGAATAAAATAAAATGATCAACCAAGGCTTCATCAATCATTAGCACTTGGTTTCAGCAAGCCCATCACAAGCAAATAAAATAAAAGCAAAGCCTCCAAGACATTCCAGCTAACTTTCGTCACCCTGTAGTACTTATAAAATCATTCAAATGGCCAAGGGCTTCATCAATCATTAGCCCTTGACAAAAGTCAATTACTTCCAACCACAATTTAATCAAGAATTTAAACCACAAGTAGGCTAAAATCTCAATCCAAAACCCAATTTCTATTTCACAAAGAAACAGGACATTCATGCAAAACAGTCCACTTTAAACATTCACAGACAGTAGTACACATGGAGGAAAAATACGAAATTTCTACAGGACAAAGGCCTATGATTCTAGTTTCAAACGCCACTGACGGCACCTTAATCGGATTTTCCTACACCAAGATATAAACATTTTACTGAGGCTGGTCAGTGAAAACCGAAAATCTGGAAACTCATTTTTCACTTGTGAAAAACTCCTTTTCCTCCTTTAAAACCATAAGCTTTTATTCAAACCATCCATACATCTCTTGTAGAATTCTAACACCACATTTTCCAGGCATTTTCAACCATTATGTTTTCAAAGAAAGTTTCACAATCAAGCTGGAAATTCTAACTCAAACTTTGGCAACCGCAAGGAAAATTCCAGCAGTTGTATACCCACATTTTTGGTTGAATCTTTCGAGATATCAAAAACGTTTCATTGCTAAACAGCTTTCACAGTTTAACGTGTACGTTTTGTCATGCGTTTCGAGCTCATAATACCCCAAGGAAAAATTCCAGGAACCACTTAAAAATTCAGTTCAACCTTTCGGTCATTAAAATTTCCAGCACTTCGTTGTTTATAAATTCACAATTTCCGTGGCTAAGACATGCTATTAAGCTCTCAGCTTCATCGTACACTTTCTTAGCTAAACAATGAACATTTCCATTTCAAGAGTTGAATTTAAACAACTGTTATAATCTTCAAAATTTCCAGGTTCAAATTCACGGCAGTTTACAAAGAAATTTCCAGCAATTGTATGTTCTTAACTCCAACTTTTCCTTGGCCAAAACAGGGTATTAGTTACTCAAATTCAACATGCCACCACTTAGCTAGGTAATTAACATCTCTCGTTCAAAATCAGATTCAATTAACAACTACAAACATCCCAAAAATCCAGGAATTCATTCGGCTCTTCTTGGATAATCTTGCATGCAGCAGATTTTCTTGTTTATTTTTGTTTCTAGATTAGCCGGGCCAAAACACTTCATGCAAGGCTTAATCATTTAGTTTTAATTAGTCAAACACCAACCAAGTGGAAGTCAAACACGTTCCAGCAAATTTCATGCTAAAATACCCAAGCAATTTCCAAAATAACTTCAACGGCTAATCTGGAAAATTAGTTCAGCAGTCCAGAAATTTTCTAATAAGTTTTCCAGCCATGCAACCGAAATTCCGAGCCTTAAAGTTCACATGCATCACTAAGTAAGGAGGTTATCTATCAGGTTGATCCAAGATTAAGCTCAAATCATCACACCCAGCAAATTATAACCAAAATTTCCAGCTCAAGCTCTCGGCAGAAACATAATTAGCGCACAGAAATTTTCTTCTTTTCTTAATTACAAATCTGGCCGCCTAAACTCACATGCAAAGCTATAAGCTAAGCTCTCGGCCAAACCAGAAATTCTTCCAGCATTTGTTTAGTCACAAACCATTTTTTTCTACGGTTAATTCCTGTATTTTGCACTTAATTTCACATGCACAACTGCTGAATTTAACTAGCTATCATATCCAGACCAGAAATCAGTTTGATAGCAACCAAATTGAACCAAGTTAAGCTGTAATAATTAAGCTAGGCTCTCGGCAGAATTTTCTTACCCCAAACTAACCCAGAAATTTATCTCTGCTTTAACACTTCATTCGAATGCCCAATTCATCATACATGGTCTTAATCTTCCAGTTTACTCAGCTAAAGACATTTGGGTGTTCAGATTATCACACAAAACAAAATTGGAGCTGCAATAACACCTCAAGTCTAGCAACAATTTCTCAAAACAGAAATTTTCCTAAGGTTTTGATTTCAGCATCCGATTGTATAATCTAAACATGTAATCTCTGATATAGCTTGATCAACTAATAATCAACCTATTTTAGACCAGAAATTACCTCAGCTAGCAACCAATCTTTCACACGAAATTCCAGAAATTTCCTTCCTAGCTCTCGGCCAAGTGCAGATGGTGATTCTGGTTTGGAGTTGCGGCTGAAAAGGGTTGTGGATGAAGGTAGAATTGGTGAAGCTTCCGGCAGATTCCCTTCCCTGGCTTTGCTCCAACTCACGGCTGAATCCAAGAAGTTTCTGGCAGCTCTCTCCCTCTCTCGGTGCTCTCGGTCAAGGCAGGGAAGAAATGAGGTTTTGTTGTGAATCAAGAATGAAAGAGTAGAGTGGTATTTGGAGTGAAGTTGATTTCGACTTTGGTTTGTGCAGAGAAAGAGTCGGCTGAAATGGTTGTGAGATGTAGTGTGAATTTGATCAAGTGGTTTTGCCGCGGTTTACGAAAGGTTGCGTATCGAATTGGTTAAAATGCAATTGGTCGAAGTTGCGGTGATGGGAATTTGTCATAAGGGTCGTTTGGTTTCGCATGGAATTGTAAGGTCTTTTGGTCTTTTCACTTGGTTTCCTAATCTCAACTTAATTTCTCAAATTTATCCTCAAGGGTGATTTGAACGCCTAATAACCCCCCCAATATACTTAACCATTTTTATCGAATAAATATCGATTAAACTTAAATATTAAGGTTCCTAACATTATTTAGCGATTAACTTAATTATCCGCATCTCCAATTGTTTATTCTCAAGAATTAAAGTTATCCTACACAAAATTTATCGAATTTTCATGCCTTAAGTATGTTTAGTATAGGAATATCATATTTATCTAAAATTCATTGATTTTTATCTTAACGCGGAAATTCCTATAACATTTAACATTATTAACGATTAAAACTAGTATCGGAAATCAAAGAATTTATTTTAAAGTAATAGAATTAATCCAACTCAAGAAATATTAATTTAGTATAGCAAAACCGAATAATTCAATATTGGCACAATTATATTATTTATTAAATTATCTTTACCTTTTTCAAAACAATTAATTACAATACTAGAATTCAAAAAATTAATTGTTAATCAATGAAATAGTTTACCATTGAAATATAAGTTAATGTAACAAAACTAAGAAGTTTAGTAGTTTCGCACAATTCTTTTATTTTGCACATAACGTTTATTTATACGTACTTATTAAAAACAATTGACTTAGTGCTAAAATTTATTAAAGAATTAAAATGCAAATAAATATGCACTGATATTTATATGTCTATTTTCAGGGTTCTCACATCCTCCCCTCCTTAAATGAATTTTGTCCTCAAAATTCACACTTTCTTGAGAAACAAATCGGAATACTTTTTCTGCATTTCTTCTTCTAACTCCCAAGTTGCTTCTCGGAAATCCAAAGTTCCAATACTTTTGTTTGCAATCAAGCTTAGCATGGTGATGAGCTAGAAAATTCTTTCATATAATAACATCATAACCTCGTATGTCCAATTTGATTAGATCCACTAGTATTTTATGCCCTTCAATCCAGAATTCACAGTTATTATAAGTTAAGCTACTGATTAAAATCTTATTACCCATTGATGTTTTAACTTCAAGGTCAAGGGTAATCTAACAGGTTTGACGTTAACTCCGGATGGAAAAGTTTGGTTCACAAATGAATGAGTTGCGCTATGATCAATTAACACTCTAGCTAATTGATGAGAAATGGGAAGAGTACCTTCCACGGCTTCCGAAGAATCAGGTACAGGTTGGTCATTTATAGCGTAAACCCTGGTAGGAACTTTCGGCCTATTCTCTCTAATGTTGGCTGGTTCATCATTCAGGGTATTATCCTCTTGTATTTTCGGGCAACCGGCAATTTGGTGCTCGCTGCTTCCACACTTCAAGCACTTTCCTGCTTTCCTCCAGCAACCGGCCTCGGTATGTCCAGGTTTCTTGCAATACCCACAAGTTCCCAGGAAAGTTATCGCACGACTTCCTTGTGGAGCGTTCCTAGGTTGACCTCTTCCATTTGGTCCCGTTAGTTCCATTATTTCTTCCTCCGGCACCTCTGGCACCAGTTCCTCGACCCACTTTGGCCAGTGGAGCATTTGTATAAGTCGGCTCCCGACTGCTGCTAGGTGCAAATCTTTTCTTGGCCTGGTAAGTTTTTACTTGAGTTCTAGCAACTTCAACCCTTTGAGCTCTTTCTACAGCATCAGCAAATGTGTCTATCCGAACAGCAGCTAATCCCTCCTGAATTTCCACGTTTAGTCCCTGCACAAACCTCCGGACACGCCTTTGTTCCGTGGCTATCAGTTCAGGAGCAAATCGGGACAATTTTGTGAACTGGACTTCATATTCGGCGACACTCATCGCCCCTTGTTTACATTTTATGAAGTCGTCCTCTCTCTTTTCTTGAATGAGAGGTGGAAGAAATTTGGCGTTGAACTCCCTTGTGAAGTTCGCCCAGGTCCTGGGAATATGATTCCTGTCCCAATTGACCCTAATTAGGTTCCACCAGGAACGAGCAGCTCCTTCAAACTGGAATGCTGCAAAAGTCACTTGCCTCTCTTCCGTATAATTTAGAGCGGCAAAAATATCAGAGATCCTTTCCCACCAACCTTCGGCTACCTCAGGTTCTGGGCCTCCGTAGAACTTAGGAGGTCCAAACTTCAGGAATCTCTCTAATGCCCGATCCTCGTAATCGATTGGGCCTCCTTGCTGATGCACCGCTCCATGGGCTTGATGCTCAGTCATGCGCTCTAACACATCAGTTATTCTATTGATTGCGGTGGCCACTGGATCTCCGGCCACGTTTCCCTGACCATGGCCTGGGTTGGCCTCAGGTTCCCTATCACTACCACCCTCGGGGTGTTGCCTAGTTGGTCTCCCACGTCCTCTATTTCTAACTTGTAGATCCATAGCCTAGTTATGCCTATTGATAAAAATAAAGTGATCAAGCGAAGATGTTGCTATTTATTTACTTGTTATTATTAAGTGAAGTCAACATGAATACCAAGAGAAAGAAAATTTAAAACACTTAAAGCATATATTCACATACCAAAGTTCATACAACTTTAAAAGCCAAACAATTCACGGTACATTTAATATTTTCACACATAACTCATATTTCGATCTTTATAAACATGAAGGAAAGCAAGTCAATAATACACCGATTATTATAACCACATAACTAATAGCTCAACCCTTAGTTTAGATTCAACTTAACCTTCATTAGTTTAGTCTTTGACAATCCCACTAGGCCCCACTCATTCTTCCGATTTCGCTTCCATAAATTCCTCTTAAATACGTAATTGGCACTAATCTTCAAGATCACACCATTGGCTCTTTACCTTTAACTTTCAAAAGTTAGACTTGATTCCTTCAATCCTACTTTTCCAAACTTAGTCATGATTTCTAGTCACATCATAATGCGATATACTGAATTCTTTTCAATTGCAAATACACCATTTAATGAAATATCTGGTATTCGGGTACAAGAATCTGACTATAGGATAATTCACACCTCAGGCTGGCCAGTCCCAAGAGTAACTTACCTATATTTGAGATTCCTACCCAACATACATGTCTAATATCCCAACTATAAACTTTTGTTCCACACTTAACGAGTCAATCCCCACAGTCCGAGAGTCCTCTCCCGGCACGAGCTCGATAAGAGCTCTGATACCACCTGTGGCGACCCCACTTTCCCCTAAGGCGAACCAAAGGGTTGGCGGGCCGTCTGCCCAGCCAGGACTCACAAAGCATTCTAACCTAAATCCTTTCAAAAGTTAAAAACAAATCGAATAAGATCATCCTTACATCCAACTTAACTTCAGAGATAAATTAGCCAGTCGAGTCTTAAACATCCCACGTGCTACGTACCAAAATATAAAGTGTACCAATCCGGGTAGATAAATACATAAATCTCTATTACAAATTTACAGGCCAAGTAATCGAATTAGGGTTTACCCATTTTCCCGTTCAAGTGGCAACCAAAAGAAAAGTGCATTATCTCAATAACATATTACAGCCCACAGAATAAGTTATAGCATTCAAATACAATCCAAAAGGAAAACTTAAGTAAGCATCCAGCTTTCAGTTTCCAGAACCTGTTAAGGAAAACAATAAACGTGGGGTGAGCTAAAGCTCAGTGGTGCCCCAAAAACATGCAATCAATTAAAACAATTAACACGTATTGATTCGACTGAAGTAAACAAATAGGAAGGCGATAATACCCAAGTGTACCTTAGACTGGTCAAGGGATTCACCCAACGACTTTACGTCTAGCACTTGATTTATTATTATTGACTCGTCGAGGGATTCACCCAACGACTTTACGTCTAGCACTTGATTCATTATTATTGACTCGTCGAGGGATTCACCCAACGACTTTACGTCTAGCACTTGATTCATTATTATTGACTCGTCGAGGGATTCACCCAACGACTTTACGTCTATCACTTGATTTATTATTATTGACTCGTCGAGGGATTCACCCAACGACTTTACGTCTAGCACTTGATTTATTATTATTGACTCATCGAGGGATTCACCCAACGACTTTACGTCTAGCACTTGATTCATTATTATTGACTCGTCGAGGGATTCACCCAACGACTTTACGTCTAGCACTTGATTCATTATTATTGACTCGTCGAGGGATTCACCAACGACTTTACGTCTATCACTTGATTTATTATTATTGACTCGTCGAGGGATTCACCCAACGACTTTACGTCTAGCACTTGATTTATTATTATTGACTCGTCGAGGGATTCACCCAACGACTTTACGTCTAGCACTTGATTTATTATTATTGACTCGTCGAGGGATTCACCCAACGACTTTACGTCTAGCATTTGATTTATTATTATTGACTCGTCGAGGGATTCACCCAACGACTTTACGTCATTTAGATTCACAGATTCATTAGAAAATGTTTCACACATGTCACCACTCGAACGGCTAGTGCGATAAAGTACACACTGCTCACTTCGATGGATCAAAATCATTTATTGCATTTTGACAATTATCACATAGCGAATTGATAAGGCGCTTAACCACATAACATAGAACAAGCAGGGACACTCACCAAGAGTGAAGTTCAGATGTCAAATTGGGAATCGAATTCCGCTTCCTCGCAATATCTTAGAATATCAAATATTGAAACCATAAGCTTTTATTCAGTCTTTAGGCTCAAACACATTGAGGTTTATCTGATATATTGCTAGTTTACTTTCCCATAGTAGTTTCAAAAATCTCCATAGGTTGAATCTTGATAAAAGTAGAAGAATTGTTTCCTTTAGTTTTCCTTGGAATACTTTTCTTATAAAAGGTAACTAGTATTATTTTCTTGAAATAAGTCGACAAACCTCTCAATATCAATGTTAGAAAGTTACTTTGAACATTTCTCTAAGGTTACGGCTTTTGCAAAAATTATCCTTAAAAACTATTTTTCCAAAAATAGGGTTTCTTGCCGAGCAAGTTTCCCAGGCTTTTCACCAAAATTAGTAAAACTCGTATTTTGAAACTTTTCCTATAGTTAACTATCCAAGTGCAAAGCTTAAGGAAATAAAAGGAATTAAAATAAGACTTAGAGTTTTCAACAGCTATAGAACTTATTTACTATAGCCATCAAGGCTAGTTTGAGCTAAAGGAAATTATCGGGTTGGAAAGTTTTAGGCAAAACACTAGATATTGAGTTTTTATATTATAATACTAGTTGGAAAATATTTTGATTACTTTGACCACAGTCACTCGAGTTCGCAAGATCGATACAACTTCCACAGCTCCGATTCCGTTTCGAAATCATAATATGGATCAAAATATGGCAAAAATCACATAACAAATTACTAGGGCTTCGTCAATCATTAGCCCTAGATTTCAACAAGTGCATTTCTGAATAAAATAAAATGATCAACCAAGGCTTCATCAATCATTAGCACTTGGTTTCAGCAAGCCCATCACAAGCAAATAAAATAAAAGCAAAGCCTCCAAGACATTCCAGCTAACTTTCGTCACCCTGTAGTACTTATAAAATCATTCATATGGCCAAGGGCTTCATCAATCATTAGCCCTTGACAAAAGTCAATTACTTCCAACCACAATTTAATCAAGAATTTAAACCACAAGTAGGCTAAAATCTCAATCCAAAACCCAATTTCTATTTCACAAAGAAACAGGACATTCATGCAAAACAGTCCACTTTAAACATTCACAGACAGTAGTACACATGGAGGAAAAATACGAAATTTCTACAGGACAAAGGCCTATGATTCTAGTTTCAAACGCCACTGACGGCACCTTAATCGGATTTTCCTACACCAAGATATAAACATTTTACTGAGGCTGGTCAGTGAAAACCGAAAATCTGGAAACTCATTTTTCACTTGTGAAAAACTCCTTTTCCTCCTTTAAAACCATAAGCTTTTATTCAAACCATCCATACATCTCTTGTAGAATTCTAACACCACATTTTCCAGGCATTTTCAACCATTATGTTTTCAAAGAAAGTTTCACAATACAAGCTGGAATTCTAACTCAAACTTTGGCAACCGCAAGGAAAATTCCAGCAGTTGTATACCCACATTTTTGGTTGAATCTTTCGAGATATCAAAAACGTTTCATTGCTAAACAGCTTTCACAGTTTAACGTGTACGTTTTGTCATGCGTTTCGAGCTCATAATACCCCAAGGAAAAATTCCAGGAACCACTTAAAAATTCAGTTCAACCTTTCGGTCATTAAAATTTCCAGCACTTCGTTGTTTATAAATTCACAATTTCCGTGGCTAAGACATGCTATTAAGCTCTCAGCTTCATCGTACACTTTCTTAGCTAAACAATGAACATTTCCATTTCAAGAGTTGAATTTAAACAACTGTTATAATCTTCAAAATTTCCAGGTTCAAATTCACGGCAGTTTACAAAGAAATTTCCAGCAATTGTATGTTCTTAACTCCAACTTTTCCTTGGCCAAAACAGGGTATTAGTTACTCAAATTCAACATGCCACCACTTAGCTAGGTAATTAACATCTCTCGTTCAAAATCAGATTCAATTAACAACTACAAACATCCCAAAAATCCAGGAATTCATTCGGCTCTTCTTGGATAATCTTGCATGCAGCAGATTTTCTTGTTTATTTTTGTTTCTAGATTAGCCGGGCCAAAACACTTCATGCAAGGCTTAATCATTTAGTTTTAATTAGTCAAACACCAACCAAGTGGAAGTCAAACACGTTCCAGCAAATTTCATGCTAAAATACCCAAGCAATTTCCAAAATAACTTCAACGGCTAATCTGGAAAATTAGTTCAGCAGTCCAGAAATTTTCTAATAAGTTTTCCAGCCATGCAACCGAAATTCCGAGCCTTAAAGTTCACATGCATCACTAAGTAAGGAGGTTATCTATCAGGTTGATCCAAGATTAAGCTCAAATCATCACACCCAGCAAATTATAACCAAAATTTCCAGCTCAAGCTCTCGGCAGAAACATAATTAGCGCACAGAAATTTTCTTCTTTTCTTAATTACAAATCTGGCCGCCTAAACTCACATGCAAAGCTATAAGCTAAGCTCTCGGCCAAACCAGAAATTCTTCCAGCATTTGTTTAGTCACAAACCATTTTTTTCTACGGTTAATTCCTGTATTTTGCACTTAATTTCACATGCACAACTGCTGAATTTAACTAGCTATCATATCCAGACCAGAAATCAGTTTGATAGCAACCAAATTGAACCAAGTTAAGCTGTAATAATTAAGCTAGGCTCTCGGCAGAATTTTCTTACCCCAAACTAACCCAGAAATTTATCTCTGCTTTAACACTTCATTCGAATGCCCAATTCATCATACATGGTCTTAATCTTCCAGTTCTTACTCAGCTAAAGACATTTGGGTGTTCAGATTATCACACAAAACACAATTGGAGCTGCAATAACACCTCAAGTCTCGGTAGCAACAATTTCTCAAAACAGAAATTTTCCTAAGATTTTGATTTCAGCATCCGATTGTATAATCTAAACATGTAATCTCTGATATAGCTTGATCAACTAATAATCAACCTATTTTAGACCAGAAATTACCTCAGCTAGCAACCAATCTTTCACACGAAATTCCAGAAATTTCCTTCCTAGCTCTCGGCCAAGTGCAGATGGTGATTCTGGTTTGGAGTTGCGGCTGAAAAGGGTTGTGGATGAAGGTAGAATTGGTGAAGCTTCCGGCAGATTCCCTTCCCTGGCTTTGCTCCAACTCACGGCTGAATCCAAGAAGTTTCTGGCAGCTCTCTCCCTCTCTCGGTGCTCTCGGTCAAGGCAGGGAAGAAATGAGGTTTTGTTGTGAATCAAGAATGAAAGAGTAGAGTGGTATTTGGAGTGAAATTGATTTCGACTTTGGTTTGTGCAGAGAAAGAGTCGGCTGAAATGGTTGTGAGATGTAGTGTGAATTTGATCAAGTGGTTTTGTGGTGCCGCGGTTTACGAAAGGTTGCGTATCGAATTGGTTAAAATGCAATTGGTCGAAGTTGCGGTGATGGGAATTTGTCATAAGGGTCGTTTGGTTTCGCATGGAATTGTAAGGGTCTTTTAGTCTTTTCACTTGGTTTCCTAATCTCAACTTAATTTCTCAAATTTATCCTCAAGGGTGATTTGAACGCCTAATAACCCCCCCAATATACTTAACCATTTTTATCGAATAAATATCGATTAAACTTAAATATTAAGGTTCCTAACATTGTTTAGCGATTAACTTAATTATCCGCATCTCCAATTATTTATTCTCAAGAATTAAAGTTATCCTACACAAAATTTATCGAATTTTCATGCCTTAAGTATGTTTAGTATAGGAATATCATATTTATCTAAAATTCATTGATTTTTATCTTAACGCGGAAATTCCTATTAACATTTAACATTATTAACGATCAAAACTAGTTATCGGAAATCAAAGAATTTATTTTAAAGTAATAGAATTAATCCAACTCAAGAAATATTAATTTAGTATAGCAAAACCGAATAATTCAATATTGGCACAATCATATTATTTGTTACATAAAAATTATCTTTACACTTAATTTCAAAACAATTAATTACAATACTAGAATTCAAAGAAATTAATTGTTAAATCAATGAAATAATTTACCATCGAAATATAAGTTTAATGTAACAAAACTAAGAAGTTTAATAGTTTCGCACAATTCTTTTATTTTGCACATAACGTTTATTTATACGTACTTATTTAAAAACAATTAGATTTAGTGCCAAAATTTATTAAAGAATTAAAATGCAAATGAAATATGCACTGATATTTATATGTATATTTTCAGGGTTCTCACAAATCCGGCCGGCAATCCGGCCAAGATTCCGGCCGGATTGTCTGGCCGGATTCCAGGCCGAATGCAACTGGCCGGATTTCCAATTTTTCTCAGGCAATCCGGCCTGCAATCCGGCCAATTTCTGGCCGGATTCCTGGCCGGATTTGCTACTGTTCATCCTCGCCAAAAAATTTTTCTGTTTTCGTTTGATGTCGTATCAATCCGAAATCCGTCCATACACCAACCAAACGTATATATACATTGAAAATCAACATTTACAAGCCAAACGGCCTACCAAAGTATCCATTTAGTTCATACATATACAAGTAGCCAGTTACACACCAAACATCGGTGGAAACAAAACACATAGGGTTATCACCCTCAAGGAGCTTATACAAAAATACATGTACATGAGCTCAATTTGCATCCAACTATCATAACCTTTCCAAAAGTGTTCATTTTCCTGTAAGGAAAACAAATAACACGGAATGAGCTAAAGCCCAGTGGTATACCACCCAATAAGCAATCAAAGTCATATAAGAATGAACTTTCACTTAAAGTGCACAATTAAGCAATGAAGCAAAACGGTAAAAGGATACGGTCGGCTCTCAAGAGCCCAATTCCACGCTTGTAATCTTGATCCAACCCCATTGACTCTCCGTCAATGTTAAAAGTACCAAACCGTAGACCACCCTTTACTTCCACTTCCTTCCACCCAACATACCCCATCCTTCCACCCAACATACCCCAACCGGGCCCGCACTCCATTTCAGTAGCTTTTGGTAATACTCGAGTTTACCGGAACCAAGGGTCTCATTACCACAAGGTTCCCCAGTACAGTCCCCGTGGCAATTCAATCTTCACGACCAAGCCCTCGCCGGCTCGATCCAATTGACTACCAAACGGGGTTGAGCTCAGTAATGCAGTAAGGCCGTTGGACATCGTCCAAACGACATCAATTCAGTTTCCATGAAATGGAATTCACCAACCAATATATCAAGTTCAGTAATGAAATAAAACGGTAGCCATTCAGTGACAATATCAAAAGAGGTGAGGGCGGTCAAGTACACCCTCACCTTAATCAATTTCAATATTCAAGTAAGCCATCAAGGCATCACATAACATTTAACAAAGCCACATAGTAACAATTTAGTGAGTGGTATACTCACCAAGTGAGAAAGTGGTATTTCATGTACCACGATCACCAAGCCGTCGTGCACTACCTTCAAGCCCTAGAACATGTAACACATACAATGAGACTCGATACCGAGCCATATAGCAATGCTAAACACAACCCCAAAAGGGTTTCATATGCATAAATGAGCATAATAGCAAACCAGAAATTAGAAAATGGCCTTAGTCTTGGCCCCAAATAGAAAACTGTTTTGCCCTTATTATGCGGTAATGGCGTCAAATTCTCTACAGTTATCGGATGGGGGTGTAAGACGCACCGTTTCGAAGCTATGAAACAGGGCTACAACAATGTAGAAGGTCACTCAATCCAGTTCCTAGCTTAACTAGTTTGAAAATGCCAAATACTATACCAGAATTACCAAACACGTTTGCAAAACACAGAAAACTGTAATCGGTATATCTCAGTCCATACAAGTCCAAATGCTGAAATTACAAAGGCATAAGTTAGGTTAAGTCATCCAGCTACATTTCATCAGAAGACACCAACTCCAAAATCCAAACCAATTCCAGTCAAAATGGCCAATTACTATCGCCAGTTTTCGCATTCTGTCCAAAGCAGAACAGTTACAGTAATTTCATCATAACTCATTCTACACTAATCCAAATGCCCTGAAATTTTACAGACATCTCAATCACATCAATACCTACAACTTTCATGTTTTGAGCAAAGTCCAATTCGGCCTCTAACCCTATGATCTAAAACCGACAGAATTGGGAAAAAATAAGAACCCTAACTTTCCATTTTCCATCCAAATCCAAAATTGATTGCATTTTCCTATCCAATACACCTCATAGAGTCATTATCAACCATTACCATTCATCATACAAGGCCACAACATTCATTTCATATTAAACCAGAAAAATCATCATAAATGGAAAATTTCACCAAATCACCTCAAATCAAGAAACAAATTATATATTTCAACACTCATGCCACCATTAAGCACAAAATAAGTATCATTAGGTGTAGTAGGGTGTTTCAAGCTTCACTTACAAGAACCAAGAGAGAGGAAGATGTTGGCCACCTTAGAGCTTCAAACTAACTTCACTACAACCCTTACTAGCACTAGAAGATAGGTTTTATGGAGTGAAATCTAGTTTATTTGGTTGGTTTAGATGATTTGCTAGTAGAAAGCTTGAAGATTGAAGAGCTCTTCTTCTTGCAAGAGAGTGAGAGAGAGCCGGCCAAAGGGAAAGAAAAATGAGGAAATTTTGTGAATTTTGAGATATTTAACCTTTGGTCAAAAAAAGTCAAAATTTGGAATAGTATTTCTTAAAAGTTCAACCAATAAGAAGGTGACATGTGTCACTCTATTAAATGCATCCTTATCATTCTTTTCTCTCTCACATCATCACTTCACACACTCTACATATCTCCTAACACCCGATAAATTTTATAACAGTATCCGAACCTTAACCTTATTGGCCGAATTTTTCCGAACTTTTCACACTAGTGGGTCCCACATCCAATATATATTCTTAATTTTCTAAAAATTCACCAATGCTAGAAAAATCATCTTAAAAACTATAATTGCTCATAAAATCTACCAGGAAAAAATATTCCTAAGCCCGAAAATGCAGAAAACATGCAATTAAGGGGAAATAAACCCTAAGAAAAATAATTAGGGTTTACGGGTTCTCACATAACCAACCAATTCCGGACTCCTCTGAGGCTAATGAAGGTAAAAATTTCGAGGACGAAATTTCTTTAAGGGGGAGAGAGTGTGAGGACCCGTAATTTTCTTAATTTTTAGGGTTTTAATTTCTTTTAATTGCACGTTTTTCCACATTTCTTTATTCGGAAAATTTTAAACATAATTTTTATGAGTAAAGTTAGTTTTAAATGATTTTTCTAGTATCGGATAGTTTTTGAAAAATTAAGAGCATATATCGGATGTGGGACCCGCTAGTGCGAAATGTTCGGAATAATTCGGCCAGTTAAGTTAAGTTTTGGATACTGAGTTTAATTTATCAGGTGTTTATGAGATATTTAGAGGTTGCCAAGTGGATTGTTGTAGAGAGACAAAAAAGTTAGGCAAGCAATTAATGAAAGTGACATGTGTCACTTAGAGATTAATTCCTACATTTGACTTACTATTCATCCTTTTACCATTTACTAAATAAAACCAAAAATTGACAAAAATCTTCCAAAATCTCCAAGCTTTGTGGCCGGCCCTTCTCAAGCACAAAGGAAAGAAAACCTCTCTCAATTTTCAAGCTCCAATCTTGCCCAATCTCACAAACTAACCGTTTAATCTTGAATTCCTTCCATAAAACCTCTTAGTTTAGTGCTTGTAAGGTGATTGGTGAAGTTGTTTGGAAGGCTAAGGTGTTGAATTGCTTCCTTTCTTGTCTTATAAGGTGAGTTGTGAAAAAACCACTCTCCTCTCTCTAATGATGCTTAAATCATGACTAGTGGGGGTGATGAGATGTAATTTTATAGATTAAATCTTGATTTTTGGTTGAATTGATGAAGTTTTCTAATTATTGGGAATTTTTCTATTTTCATATGAATATGATTGTGTGGCTATGTATGATGTTTGTAAATGGTATTTAAGGCATCTAGGAGGTGAAAAAGTGGATAATTGCAAGCAGTTTCTTTTTGGAAGAAAAATTGGAAAGTTAGGGTTTCAATGTTCTTCATTCTGCCCGGTTTTATAGCTCCAATTTAGAGGCCGAATTGGCCTTGGATTAAAACATAAAAGTTGTAGGGAATAATATTTTAGAGGTTCCTACAAAAATTTCAGGTCAATCGGAGTAGCGTAGAATGAGAAAAGTCGAAATTACCCTTGCTGTCCTGGTTTTACCCGAATGTAAGAATTGTGCCTGTAATTGTTGTTTTGGCTGGAATTGCTTCGGAATTGTGTTGTTGAGGTCTTCTGATGAAATGTAGCCCTGTTTCTAATCTTTCGGATGGCTTTGGAATTTCTGGATTTGGACTTAAGTAGGCTGAGTTATGCTGTTTACACCAGAATGCATTTTGTGAATCTGTTTTTCCGGTTCTGATGTAGTATCTTGCATTAAACTGGACAGAGTTGCCTTCTAGAACATTGTAGCCCTATCT